AGGTACCATGCCATTCACAAACAAGTTTATGACTGGTTTGATATAAGTTTGGGCGAACTTCAACTCCACAACACACTCAATTGTGCCAAGCAGTTTTCGACAAGTTATCTGGAAACACGTGTTTGAGAGAGGCCACCATTACGCTGGTCAATGCTTCTTTTCTTGTTGCTCAAATGCCTCTTAATTAGCCTTATTCGTTCGCAAGAGCATCCAGATGTTCTTCTTAAGCCTAAGGATTTTTAACTCTCAATTCTTTAACTGATGAATTAGTGCTTTACATGCATGGAGTTCTTAGAGCATATCCAAACCTCTAAAGTTTGCGTCGTAGTACAAATGATTCGGAATAGAGCACTATGAACAAAGGCATCGTTCAACAATCTAATCAAAGATAACATCATTCAGCTTTGTAAAGAATTTACCGACTTTGAGACATGTTTTCATCACTTCAATGACCTGGAGAAACTGACAGAGAAGATATTTAGTATAAATAAGCTAGAAATCCATAGACTTCAATAAGCAAGTAAACAACTAATCTGAGAGGGGGAGCTATAACTAATAATCAGTGATATACCTTTAGTGTTACATTCCAACGCATTGTATTTCCAATACTCATGACTAGCGACAAGTTAAAAAAACATAGAGCAGTTCATTGCTTAATCAAATAACATTTAAGATTGAAAATGAAACAGAAAACAATTTATTGTTTAATCAAATAACTTTCAAGATTGAAAATGAAACAGAAAACAGTTTATTGTTTAATCAAATAACATTCAAATTGAAAATGAAACTGAGAACAATTTATTGTTCAATCAAATAACATTCAAATTGAAAATGAAACAGAGAACAATTTATTGCTCAATCAAATAACTTTGTATTCTCTTCTCCTCTCCTTGTTGATATCCAATTTTGCAAATCCTATCAGAGTGACTAAAAAAAAAAAAAAATTGAATTCTTGTGAGATTTAGGATGGCAAAAGACATGCAAGTTTTTGCAAAAAAAAAAAAACTACATTACACTTACCCGTTGAGATTTAGAATCCAAGGAATGGCGCCTGAGTGTATCAGTAAGCGAAGAGCACTGTTGTTGCTGGAACGAGTCAAAGAAACAAGACCACTCAGCGCTTGGTCGACGAGAGCATCGGGGAACCCCATGCGTGGGCGTAAAAGGTCCCCAAGTATCGGTATGGCTCTGTTCGTCAAATTAACAGGAGGCAAAGGATCGGTAGTGCACAAAACCAGCAATGTGTTGACAGTATAGTTAAGCAGCTCAACCATTCGTGTAGGCTGAATGGCATCAGGGTCATCGAAATCAAGGAGAATCTCAGTGAGAAGATTAATAATGGGCATCATCGCTCCAGCATTGTTAACTCTGTCTCTGATAAATGTGTCAACGCCAGCGAGGTTACCCAATGCTAAAACACACTGTAGCAAAACGATATCAGTTTAACACGTTTGTAAATCAATACAACTTCATCATTAGGTTTAACATTTATACCACGTTGTAGTTCTCGTCGTTCTCAGAATTAATTTGTCGGATGAATATAGGTATGGCGCCACTATTGGTTAACGTATAAGGACTATCCAAAGTCTGGAAGGAATTCTAAGACCATGAAGAGGAGGTCGTGCCCAAGACTATCCACAGGTTTCCATGCTATGTACTATGAGAAAGAGAAAGCATACACTTACACTAATTTCATATCTTGAAGTTGGTGGAGGTGTAAGTGCAGTAGAGTCGGACACATACACAATATACAACCGGACTCTTTTTTTCTGTTGTTGAAGAACAACTTGTCAATATAAACTTCTTCCTTGATTTGTTTTGAGATGTTCAATGAAGTTTCCTCTAACACATTTTGTAAATTGAATAGAATAAGATAATGGAGAAAACGATAAATGAACACGAATTGCACAATCTTTATAATCTTCATCTCGATTCTTCTTGCCTCGCGGAAAAGACCAAGTGTGTTTGTTAAAATCTTTCACCATCAAAGATTGTTGATGTGTATGGTCGAGTATTATGGTTCAATATAAATACAATTTGTTTATCAAATTGCAAAATCCAATTAGAAAATATGTTAGTACATGTCAAAAAATTGATTGACTAATGACAAGTAACGTGATCATGTGAATTACAAAGTTAAATCAAGTTTCATATGATAAGATATTGTTAAAAACGTATATAAAAGAACGTCAAATGGGCTGAAAATAAGCCCTATATAAAAAAAATAAATCAAATACGTAATACAAAGTTGATTGAAACCAATTTCCAATTTGGTAGGACGAATCTGGTCCCCAAAGTGACATGATACATCAATCTTTTCATCATATATCATTTACAAGAACTATGATCAATGAGAATATGAAATCGTGGAACTCTCAGTTTATAACGTTTTGAAAGCAACATAAACCATGAATCGATCTTTGACAAATCCAGAGTCAATAGAGAACATAAACCATGAATCAATCTTTCACAAATCTCAACTTCGCAATGACTAAATCATACAAAAATTCATTGGGGATTAGGGTTTCAAGCTTGAACGATGATGTTAGAAGAACAAGAGTTTAGGATTGTTGTTGTTTTCGATATGGTTGATATGCATTCGATTTTGTAAATTTGAGGGTTTTAGAATTTCGTAATCGAACACATTTTGGTTCCAGATTTTTACTTGCAAATGACACCCATAACTTCAAAAAATTAAGAAACTACCACTGAAGTGAAATTACTAGAGAAACAAAATCCGAAGTTATATAAGTGAACCACAAGAACAAATCGATTGACCTCTAACAGATTAGAGTGAGTTTTTATGTTTTAGTTTCTTGGTTTACAAGCCAATACAACAAAAATTCTTCGTAACAGATCATCACTCTTTTGTTGTCACCACCACTTGTTTATGGCGAAGCGCTCTCCAGCCAATATCACGCCTAAAAAAACCTCTAGGCCAACTGATTTGCTGGACCGCCCAATACGCTCTTTCATGCGCTTCTTCCAAGTCTTTACCTTTCGCGGTGACCCCAAGAACACGTCCTCCACTCGCTACAACATTCCCCTCTGAATCAAGATCCGTTCCCGCATGAAAAACCTTCACTCCAGGAGCAACCGTTTCAGCTTCTTCAAGGTTTTTGATGATAGATCCTTTCTCATAAGCACCGGGATAACCTTTGCTTGCCATTACAACCACCATGGCTGAATCTTGTGACCAGTCGAGCGACACACCGCTTAACTCGCCTTTACAAGCCGCTAGCAAAACTTTCGCTAGGTCAGACTCTAGCCGCATCATCAGTACCTGTGTTAAACAAGAAGCTACACTGTTTAGAACAACAGTCGGAACTAAATTGTTTTTTTTTTTCCAGAAAAATGGGGTTTTTTTCTCACTTGACATTCGGGATCTCCAAACCGGACATTGAACTCAATCAGCTTAGGCAAACCTGACTTCTTCTCGATCATGAGACCCGCAAACAGAACACCAATAAACTTACATCCTTCTTCCGCCATTCCTTTAACAGTGGGATGAATTATAGAGTCCATCACCACATCCTGCAGCTCCTTGGTCAAGACCGGTGCAGGAGAATAAGCTCCCATTCCGCCTGTGTTAGGACCGGTATCTCCATCTCCAACCCGCTTATGGTCCTGAGCGGATTCTAGAGGAATGGCGTTTTCTCCATCCACAAGTGCGAAAAAGGAAGCTTCTTCTCCCTCCAGAAACTCCTCCACTATCACCTGACATCCTGCAGAACCAAACACACCTTTGACTAACATCGAGTCAACAGCTTCAAACGCCTCCTCTAGTTCCATTGCAACAGTGACTCCTTTTCCAGCTGCTAATCCATCCGCTTTAATCACAATCGGTACCCCTTGCTCTTGAATGTATTCTTTCGCAGCAGATGCATCAAAAAATGTTTTATACTGCCATTTGAATTTGATTTAGTATTACTGTATTCGCCACATCAAATTGGTAATCAATCATAGTGAATATGAAACCGAAAAAAGAGAGAGGGGCGAAAACCTTAGCAGTAGGGATATTGTACTTGTGACAAAGATTCTTCATAAAGTTCTTGGAACCTTCCAAAGCAGCAGCTTGAGAAGAAGGGCCAAAGGTGAGGATACCGGCGTTAACCAGTTCATTGGCGAGACCCGCAACAAGAGGCCCTTCAGGACCAACAACCACTAAACCGATATTCCATTTTTGACAGAAAGAGATCACAGCTAAACTGTCTGATATGTCAAGGTCAGGTATGCAAGTAGCATCTCCGGAACTCGTAATACCGGGGTTTCCAGGTGCGCATAAAACAGAATCACAAGAAGGAGATCGTTTCAAGGCATGACAAAGAGCATGTTCTCTCCCTCCTCCACCGATTACAAGAACTATCACTCTATCTTCTGCAGAAACTGAAACTAATTACTACAAAGTCCATTGATTATAATAACCACTGGTGTTTAATTTCTCATTACATAATAAGATTCTATCTCAAACCAATATGGAGCATAAGCATTGAAATTCAATCTTTCTACAATCACATTCAACAACTGAATATAGAACCTACCAAAGTTTGTTACTTTATCAAAGGGTCAGAGAAATATAAATCCACTGAACAGTATCAAGCTAAAGCGAGTAAAAGGGTATCGCCGGAATTTACCAGAGCCGCCGTTATCGCCGGGAATGACTGAAATAGACGGCTCAGTTTTATCGGAGACGCACCGGAGCAAAAAATGGGGTTTTTGGAATCGGTTCGAAGAGAAACGAGAGCTAAAGACGTGATTGGTAGTAGAGAATTTGAGAGGAGCAACGAAGGAAGAAGAATCAGAGGTGGCGAATTCGAGAGAGTGAAGGAAGGGTTTAGGTGAGTTATTGTTGTTGTTGAAGAAGAGATTGATAGAAGAAGATGAAGGATTGAAATTAGATGTACACAAAGACATGTCGGAAAGTTGGAACCTCAAGTTTGCGAAAGAGAAGAAGAGAGAGAGTAAAAATTTGCAGATGTGGGATTAGACTTGGACCAACGTCTAAAAGGGTTTAGCACCGTCTCTCGGATAGTCGAATGACTCGAATCCTTCTTTTGTGTGTTTAGGTTTACTTTATCTTTTCTTAAATCTAAATAATAAATTAAAAAGGGTTTATAACCGAGGACGATGGAAATTTATCCGTTTGGGATTTTGGTGAAAATGTGCCTTGCTCTAGACTATCTTGGCCTTCTCTATTTATGAATGGCATCTATTGTCGCTTTCTCAGTAAGCAAGCAAGTAACTCATGGAATTAATCAGCTTGCGTGTGTAGACTTTTGAATATGTGTTTTGTAATTTGACTCCATTTGTAGAGATAGCGATTAATGATGATGATTTGCACAGAGACCATAGTCTCAGTTTAACAAAAGTCTAAATCAATTTATATGGATAGTCGATGTTGCTCTAATTTTTTTGTAAACCATTAGATCCATTACAAATGATATCGTAAGTTGGATTATTGTTCACTAGATTAGGATCCGCGTTGATACGCGGATAAACATATTAAAAAATTATTAATATAAATATTTAAGTTACCCGCTAAATTATGAGCATATTTTGAAATACTATTTTTTTTTTTTGTCACGAACACACTTCATTCCTAAACTAGCCAAATACAGTAGTATATGGGAACTAGTAAAGGACCGAAGTACCAATATATGAAAACAGTAAATTATGTTGTCGGGCATGCCGGGCCAGCAGGTCTGCCATAGCATTCTTTTCCCTGGGACAATACTGGATAGTAAAGTCTGGAAAAGACGCTCGTAGTACCTTCAACTAATCCAGTTCCGCCTGAAACCTCGACTAAAGCTCCGGGTCCATGACCATGTTGGTCAACTCAATCGAATCTGTAAGGAACAGTGTAAAGTATCTACGTTTCTTCCGCAGACATGTCATTGCCCATAGGAGGCTGAGGAGCTCGGTGATAGACTCATGCGCAGTCCGCGAAGTCCAATCAGGTCTATCTCTCCGTCTTGTAGCTGTAGTGTCCACCCAATTCCGCTAGTAGGAACGTCATCTTTCCACTCTCCGTCAAGATTACATGTGAACGGAACCTGTGATAAACTCTGAGGGGGTTGGGGCTGGTGACTCATCGCTTCTGTCGCCACCTGTGTATTCGCGAGAAACCAGGCCGCAACCTCTCTACTTGCCAGATCAAGGATATCCTGTGCCGA